ATTTGCTTATTGCATTTTCATTGTCCATATATTTTATTGGATAACCAGTTTCATTTGAAAATTGAAAAAAATGGAATTAAAAGCCTTTAATATTAAACAAAAACGTTCATAATAATTTAATAACGTAATAGGATGTAATGTAAATAACTGAGGTGTGAAAAACAATTGAAATTAGCAATAATATGAAGTGGATTGAATTGATTGATTGAAAGCTACAAACAAAGTAAATTAATTTAAAGTACGGCAAATTCTGAATAATGGTTTTATTTATTAAAGCATTTTTTTATCGTTAATGATTAATTGAAAATTTTTGATTAATTATTGTCCGTGTATTTCATTCCTGAATAATTTTTTAAATATACACCTTAAAGCAATGATTAAAACATTAATTAATGAAAAAAACTTCATAAAGTTGAGCAGAAGATGAAAAAATGAATTTCGCAAGGTTTCGAGTAATTAAAAAAATGTCTTATTTGATAAGAGAAGAATAAATTAATGAAGGAAAGAAACATATGATAAAATAAGAACATAATGTAGCAGGATGCATGTGAGGTTTACTGAAAATAATAATTAATCAAGCATAAGATTTTAAAGGCATCTGTATCGCGTGTTTTTTCCCCAAGCCAAGTGTACACTACTGTATCTTATGAACTTTTTTAAAATAACGAGCTTCCGGTGGCGGTGTGAGTTCCCATCAGTTGTGTTGGCGTATGGAGAGATTTTCCACGGACGCGAGATCTTTACGATCAGTTTCTGTTTCTATACTTTATAATACAAAGTTGCGGAATGTATGTGTGTATGTTATGTAGCATGCGGACGCGTCATATGCACGTGAATGCTAAGAGAAAAGTTTTTAAGAGGAAGATAGTATATCCCCAAGCAGGGAGAAAATCTAAAAACATCTCTTCGTAACCTCGGAGTTCCCCTGAACTTGGTCTCCAACTGTAAAATGTATTTATAGATGTCCGAGGGTTCGTATTTACACCAGAAGTTGATTTACATACACGCCCTACACCTACGGCCATTTCAATCTATAAATGAGTACACTGAGCCAAAAAACACCGCGTGGGATTACCAATTAGAATAGTCATTGATTGTTTCAATTGTCTATTTTCTTCATTTTCTCTTCTAACCTACTTACGATTATTTAGGCAATTTTTCATTCATTCCAATCACATTTATATCTATTGTTTTCTTTTTTTATATACCTACTATACAAGATCTCTAAATATCTACACTAATCGATCGAAATACTATTTGTTAATTATTATATAAACAATAATCTTTCATGTAGGAAGATTGATTTAATTGCTTCATTGATAATTCTTCTGCTGATAGAAATATTTATTCAATAATTATTTTATTTGATCAAGATTCTTATTGGTGTTAATGAAGTAAATATGAATATTTTCCAATTAATAAAGTACATCAATTCATTTATTGGGTATAACAAATTCATTCAACATCGCTAATTCTGTTATTGATTTAGCAGTTTCTTTTAACATCTAGAGATTTATTTTCAATATTAAATTAAATTACTAACTTCTAATTAAAAACTATGAATTGTTTTATAACTAAATAAATGTTTTGAATTTAATTAAAAATTTAAATTATTATTATTTAATTTATGACTCATCCCTTTCTAATATCGAAAATAATAATTCACAGATGACATCGATTTACGGCGTCATTTTTTTCTTTTCATTCGACAGAGTAGTAAATAAAAACGTGTCATGGAATAAAATATGAGTCGGTGACGGTTTATGTGTTGAAGGATAAAGGTCAATAAATGAGAAAAATGAATGTTTAATAATATAAAAATAGATAATTTGAAGAAAATAAAAGATTAACTTTAAAGGCAGTAGCAGGTACTCAGCAAAAAAAAAGAATAACAGGTACAAGGTGAGAAATGGGTCCAGTAATGGAGCATAATCGCATAAAGAGAGTAGGGGAAACACTTTACATCCTGGATTTAAATCCTGAGATGAAGTGACCCTTGGTCAGGTAGTTCAGAGATACATAACAGCAGAGGTGTCCCCCTTTTTACAGAACAAGTGAACGACCGACAAAGCGTGTATAATACGACCAAATCATTACTCGAAAGGCAGTTCGCACCTTAGAAGGAGGGTCCCTCGGACAATGGCGGACAATGGGCTTGGGAAACCGAGACTCTAAACAACATAAATATGTATTCTTTCCTTATTCTCACAACTTCTTGATATTTTCTGATGAATATATTCATTCTACCTCACACACGCACAGTGTTATAATACGCAATTTAATTTTTACTCTACTTTAAATATTATCAATACTACATTTTTTTTATGCATCTAAAAAATTTACTTCTATTGAATTACTCATTTAGCTTGTAATGCTTTGATATTATTACTTTTTATGGGAAGAAGTTGACTGCTGGAAGGGCCAATAACCCATCCCCAACAGAATTCGCGACTCGATGACATCGTAATTCAGGGGGCAATTGCCGGCCGCCAGATTGGGTAGACGATATACAGCCACGATACTGTCGAAAAGACTCGGATCGAGTCAAGGGAATAAACCCACCAGAACGAAAAACAGAAAAAACTTATTCCGTGAAAATTTATTAATTACTAACGATTAATTAATTAATTACAGCAAAGCTTTTAATTTACATAAATCAATTATTTTTATTTAGTTAATGATGATGTTTTTCTGAATATTTTTTATAAAAATTAAAAGTCAATATGAGATAATGAATCGATTTGAAAATCAGTGAATTAATCAATGACTTGTCTGTCATCGATAGGTGACGCCATCTGGGCAACAACCAACGAACAGGTTTGAAGTTTCCCACTCTTGAAAATAAATTTTTTATCAATTATTTCCAGTCTTCTGATATTTAAAATACCGGAATAGTCTAGATAAATAATATAGAGCATACATTAAGTAAATTGATAAACGCAAAGAGGAATGAAAAAATAAAAAAAACAGGCGAGAATGAGTTTCTGGTTGATTTTACCTGCGCGCGTGCTGAACCCTCGAGCGAAGAGGATGAGAGACAAAAAAGGGGTACGCCACGCGCCCGACGCCCGAAGGTTAATCTGAGAAATCAAGTCAAAGTAGTTTTTTGTCGGGTTTACGAGCATCGCAAGGAAGAAAAAGACACAGAGTGGGGAAGCTGCGGATGAAGAAAGAGATGAAGCGGAGAGAGAAGGGTTTAGAAGCCGGGATGCTTCAAAGACAATATTTAACGGATACACTAGGCATATGTCGCGCACGTGCCGACAGGGGCGCGTTAAACGCACTTTGTTTGCTAAATAACATCCGAGGAATATCTTGCACTCGCGGGCATATTCGGACCATCGGGCTAATTGATCTCGAGTGCTAAATGATTTTAATGCAGACACATTTTCTCTTTGACAAAGTGTTCCTTATTACTCACCTGCGTCGTTTATTTATCATTAAAAGCTCTGACACAATTGCTGTTGCGAGATACATAAATATTTTTTTTTTACACTATTGCATGTGAGATTAATTATACTCATTTATTAGTGGATGATATTCATCATTGATTCGTCAAGGGCTTTAATGTCTTAATATACTTAAAAAATACCCAAACATCTATTTTTATCGAATAGGAATACTACAACTTAATTTACAGACTTTTTTTAATTGACTACAAGCAAATTAATGTAAATAATTAAATCTTATTTATTTGCTAACTTTTGTGAATCAGAAACAAATCTTTTAGCTTTGTTTTTTCCAGTTAACAAATTCCAGAAATGTCTAAGATGACAAATTCGACAAATATTCAAGTTCATCACTTGTTCAAAGAATCAATGAATTTTTGTATTTTTATTTCGATTGATTCATACATCGTTAATAAGTAAATAGAGGAATAGTTGAGTGATAATGAGTGCAAGATGTTGCATCTTTTCTCCACGGCATCGTCGCGCAAACTAAAGAACCGCGTTGGTGTAATTAAGAAAACGAAGCTACCGCCGTTGAGGCGAAGGAGAAGAAAAAAAGAGAAACCAAGACAAGAGCAGTAGTAAGTAGATGAAGAAGAAAGAGAAATTTTCAGCAAAGAAGGGGATCTTTCAACTTGATGGGGGTGGAAAAGTCTAAAAACCGTGCGCATGACAATATCATGTCGCTACAGAATCTTTTATCGCTGTAGCTTTTAGTCTACTGATTTCTCTCTTTCTTATAAATAGTCAGAGCATTTCAAGAGATACTAATTAAAAATTCTACCGTCGATACTTTCAACAAGTTGCGTCTTACCCCTTTCATTCTTTTTCTTTTTCTAACTCTCTTTATGCAACCAACAAACAAATTAGCTTCTTTTTGTTATTCTTTGTTATACATATTATTACATCGTTTGTAAACTTTTATAAATACTTTTTTTTCGTTATTCATTTAACATCCGTCGCTTCCAGATTCAACACTTACTAAGTATTCAGGAATATTTATAATTAGTTATCATTATTCTCTTTAATATTTTTATCTACTATATTCTTCCAAATTATATTCATTATTTTATCCAATTTTATTCATTTTACAAACAAGGATAATTTAAATGATAAATGATGTTAGCAATTGTACAAGTATCAAATTGAAATTAATGTTAAAAAAATGAAGAAAAAAATTTAATGATATTCATTTAGCAGACAATTGAAACGATTAGACAAACTTTCAACAGATACATTTATGTTGAAGAATCCGTGCTATTAAAAACGAATTAAAATAACAAGAATATATTCTAGAGTGAAAAAAGTTTGTATTTTCTAATAAAAATATTTTACACGAGTTTCATTATTTAAATATCACTTAATTAATAAAATATTACTTTTCTTCTATATTCAGATATCTGTGACGATATTAATTACACAAAGTAAATAGTATGTAAAATATTTTTATTAGATTTTTTTGATTGAATAATTATAAATAAATAATAGGAAATAGTTATGAGTAAAATAAATAATAGATAAGTATAAATGATAATGATAAAAATTAGTTACCTTGAGCGATACGAACTGCAGGCATTTTGATCCTCATGTTGACGTTTTGGATTTTTGACAATCACTTTGAAACGAGGACAATTAGAATTGTCGAATAATATAATCTTCACGTAGACTTTGTATTTCTCTTGTGAAAGATGAGAAGTAACAGATTGTAGGATTCCTTAGAAAATTGATCACTATTTTTCCTTTTTTTTATTTTCGTTTCTCCGAACGTTTATTGACATTCACGGAGCCAATAAATAGATGAAAATTCATTTAACAATAAATTCACTGAATGTCTCTATGGTATTTTTTTACGACATAATTATATTTAAATTATATCACGTATTAATATGAAATGACATTCAACTCTTCATATAATACTTGTTTTATTTTTTCTTGAGCATATGATGTTGAAGGAGAACCATCAGATGAAGGAGCGCCACATGCTCGTGGGATCCTGTCCTTTATTCTGTTTTATGACCGTCTTCGCGGGTTTTAGGCCGCGGTCAAACAGCGTGACAATTTAAACTAACTGTCACATGTGTATTATTTGACATTACCGTTGATATCTCCATTGTCTTATGTATATTATTAAAATTTTCACATCCACCAATTAGGCATAAAAAATCAACAACTTGCCATTCACGAAAACACTTGCAACAAGTCTTGGATTTTATATATAAATAGAAAACAAACTTCTTCCTTAACAAACAAAAGAATGAAGAAAAATAAAACACTATTGGAAATGACAATCACTCTTCAACTTAGATAATTATTTTAAAAATAGTTATGAATCCATAGCAAAATCACACCACACTGACAAACAATTTTAATCATTTTTCTTTTTTCAATAATTTCTTGGTCTTGTCAAGGAATTTAAAAAAGACTTTTGAAGCCGTTAGGGCTATTTTGAAAGCAAAATATCGTTCGATTAACGAAATAATATCGTGGTAAACAATAAAAATATATTGGACGGTGTAATTATCGTACCACGCACATTTCCAAGAATATGTAAAATATATATTTAAAAAGAAATAATAATGTTTTTGAATCGCGAATCTTTCGTGTAAGGCAGATGATTCGTCACTGGTACTTGTGGTCCTGGTACGTCGGATGCTGGTGCTCCGGCGTGGACCAGCGGCGATGGTCCGGCATGGGTCGTATCTCTGAGTGGACTGTGCCGGACGTGCGCCTAGTCGTGGCGTTCAGGAGCTGGTGTCGGGCACTGCGCTCTGCTTCGGACGCGCTCGGCTCGCCTCGGCGCCAGACCGGACACCCCACGCGTCCTGGGGTAGTTTTCACCCCCAGAGTGGGGGTAACTCGGCTCGCGCATCGGGAAGCAATTCCTGTGAGAGCGAGAAAGGGATGCTGTGGAAATAGTGACGAAAAGAGAGTAGAAAGGAGACAAGGAAAAGACACGAGAGAGTGAGAAGGACTGAGAGGGAGAGAGAGAGGGAAAGGCGGGCATGCGGGATGCGAGAACAACCGAACATGAAAGACAACATGAGTTGAAGAGAGAGGGCCAAGTCGCCAACATGAAGAAGCAGCTGAGGAGTGAGATAACTAACGTGACTGTGAACCAGGAGAGAGGGTGACCTCGAGGGGAACGGGGATATCGTCCGCTGCTTATGGAGGGAGGCCGCGAGGACCGCGCGACGTACACAAGGGTGGGGAAGATGAACCGTGGACCGCGAATCATAGTGGGGAGCACTACACGCGTTTTAACTTTTAGATTGGAGATCACCAAATCCCGCCAAGACCAAACACTTGGATATGACACGTAGTCTAAATGATGTTTTTATGGTTTTTAAGAAAAATTTTATTTACACGTATTTCTTTATGATTCTCTATTTGTTTCAACGATATCTTTTTTTTTTTGCACGTAAATCATTTTGTTTTTCTTAGAGCTTTCAAATCATTCGATTATTTTAGTTACTTGGAATAAAATAAATATCGTATATTTCAGCTACAGCTATTATTATATATTCTAAACTTGAAAATTTTTGGTCATCTCCGGTATTTATTTTTAACTTAACAACACATTTACTAATAGACATTTTTTATCCAAATTTCAAATTTGAGTTACTTGAATCATTTAATATTTTTTCTTTTTATAAATATTTTGTTAATAAAAGTATGACTGTTATATTTTTGACAAACGAGTAATGTAATTGAAATGTCACAACTGATTCAAGTGGATCATTTTAACAAGATACATGTGCACTACTTTTATGGATGAAAATGAACTGAAACAATACAAGCAGAAATTTATTGATTAACTTTTTGAGTGGTTTTTTGTGATACTTTTTTATTACATGCAGTATAAGTGGATAATAATCAATATAAACGTGATATTGAAAGGGAAAAAATAAATATATTCTACTCTTAAAGATAAGACGGATAATTATCAGTACTTCATCTTTGATACCGACAAGTGTAGTCAAATGTTGTGTTAATGATTATGTTTTTAATTATCGCCGCCATATTTTTAATTTACTTTTTTATTTCCGTATTATTGATAAATATTTTATTATTGAAAAATACTATAAATAAATCATAATTCAGTCAATTGTTTTATGAGAAAATAATATAAAAAAAATTCAATTTTTAAAAAAAAATTATTTTATTGATATTTTCAAATAAATAATAAAAGTGTTTAATGTCTTATTGGATAAGATTCAACTTTAACAGCTGTTCTATTGTTGAATAATAAATTTTCCAATTTCACTCTTGACAATTTGTAAATGCGACAAACTCATTTTCATAATCCTTGATATGTGTTAAATATAGATTGCAAATCATGAACGAGCTAGAATTTGTTTTTGATAAGATTAGATGACAATTTAATACGTCAAACAAAGGCCGATCAAAAGTACATTTAGAAGTGACTTGTAATCAAAATGTTTCTATGATTTTAGAAACAAAATCTACTCTATTTTATTTTTTAACCAAATACTTTTTCCTAATCCTTCTCAAGTACCCTTTAATTAAGTAAAAAGAGCCGAACTGTTACTTATATCTATTGAGGGTGCTAAAAATATTTCCCAGCCCTTAGATGACCCCTAAGTAAGATGAAACTCTTAAAGAATCCTAAAAGAACTAGTATTATAAGTTGAAGTGAGTCAGGACAAATCTTGAAAATTATCTACATCTCTTCGAGACAGCTGGAAAATGTTTCTGATACGTTTGTACATTCAAGTAGGTAGTGATTTATTGAAAAATTTCTCTGTTTACTCAACTATTTGTCTGTCGTATAAATTTAATCTTGGTAAATTTTTGCTTAAAACAAGTAACAAAAAGCTGATGATTTGTTGTTCGTAAGTACTAGGAAAGTTATATCAAACCGCTGTCTTTCGCGGTCAGAGGTTAATCTGTATTCTTTACGGTCGACGCTCGCGCGGAAACTTTGAAATTTCCACAAGTACTGAGTAGTAGTAGTCATCCCTCTCCCCTTCGTCACCATCACGCCGACTCTGACGCGATATTCCCGCTCAATTTCTTGTCTTCTTTCTTGCTCTTTTTTCCTCTCAACAAAATCTCATCAGACGCGGTCAGTTCGTGGCTTTCTGTTGGGAATTAGATTTTTCCATTAGTTGTTGAGGAATGTGATGTGCTTTGGCGACACGTCTACTTTACCCCATTCTATCGGTCTTTTGATATAACGTTGAATGATTTTGGACTGAAAGCTGTGAGCTATCATCTTGGAGGTGGAGTAAAGCAAAAAATGAAGAACGGAAACACGTGACATCGTAACGACTTACCAGATTTCAGAGAGCGTTAATTCTGGACACTCGTTACAGGGAGACAAACGTCCAAAGGGTGAAAAAACATAGAAGCGGACGATCTTGGTGACGATCATGCCCGTGCTCCCTTTTTCTTATTTCTCCATCTTCCTCCTCCTCTAACTTCTCTTCGTCATCTCCAACTACGCATCCTGTTCGGGGTTTTAAAGATTATTTTTACTTCAGGGCAAAAAAGATCTGTCTGGCGACTACGAAACGAGCACATGTGTGCGACGCATCGTACTTGGTACTCTGGTAAGTCCAGCGATATTCGGCCCTCTCCTTTCTCATACTTGCGTCGTGCGTCTTCGTCGTGGGAGTTTTACAGCGTGTGAGTCCCGTCCAGAAGAACATTTTGGAGAGCATAACCCGCTGAGTGAACCAAAACAACTGCCTTCTGTCATTGACCCTTACTTACTATTTTTCAAAAAATATACTGCACTCATTTCATCTACCACAGCATTTTATTATTGCCACGCGGCATATAAACAAACCGTTTTCATCAATTCCTATCTTTACATGGAAACATGATTCATTCATTGTTCATTCGAGTGATCATATATTTATGGCAGCAAATTGGTCTTAAGAATATTGTTTTATGAACATGCATTTCTAAGGTTGAATATTCAATAGAAAGATATTAATTTTTTTTAAATTAATTATTTACTCATAGATGGATTCATTCCTTATAATGCAGTTTGAATTTTTTCCCTTTTTACCTATAACAAAAAATATTCTTATATACATTTCCCTTCAGCAACATCGAATATTCAATCAATGTTTATTTTAAAAATATTATTTTTCATAAAATGTACTTTTTTTTATTGATTTTTGCAACTGAATCAACCTTATTAACGTGATTTACATGAATATCTTTAACATAATTGGAAACCGAAGAAGTGATGGTTTGTAACATTACTTCTATTCAAGAATATTAGAATTATCTTCAAGTACTTAAACCAGATTAGAACTCTAGAAAGATTGTTATCACTTGAATTAAATGGAAAAATATTGAAAACTTCAGAAAATAATTTTATTTTCTATTCTAGTACTATTTTAAATTTAAAACTGATTTATTGGGAAAATTATCATTTCTTAAGTCCGGTGATTTAATAATATCCTATCATATACAACCAATAGATGAAGCGGAAGTAAAATAAAAAAAGACTGTGACCCTGGGAAATAAGAGTGGAACTATATGGAAGTACGAGAATCAGTTCATATGCTCCGGTGATTTTATAACATCACAATCTAATAGTTGAATCAAAAATTTTCATTGTTTACCATACCTTTATTTATTTAACTTCAAAAGGGTCCAGCAGATTTTCGAGAGATAAATCTTTAAATTAATAATTTTTACTGAATCATTTTTTTCTACCGGCAGCTGAAGATTGAGCTTTGGAAATAGATATCATCGAACTTGAGTAAAAAATACATCTCAAACAAATCAATGATTTTGAAAATTTTTTATCCAAAATAAAATTACTTGATCTATCTATTTTTATCTGTACTTTAGTCCAATATTTTTTTTTCCAAACTCAGCACATTGAAGCAGACTTTTTCACTTGATAGTTATGAATTCACACTAAACAACCTTCTGACAATAAAAACATTCCTCATTCAAAGTAGCATTTATTTTCGAAAGCATGTATTGAAGACACCTGTAATATTCTCGACTAGTTAATAATATCAAAAATATTGATAAGATAATAACTTGAGTAGTATTCATTGCGATATCTTTTTTTATCTATCATCAAATATTATAATTCCTACATTATTTCAGACTAATTAAACACGACATAATTGTTCGTGACAAACATTATTGTAAAGCAGTTAAAGAAATGTCTTAAAAGTCATAA